AAATCATTTGCAAGTATTTCACCTACAAAGGATGATGGTTGATGCACAATACTCACATTAGTCTCACGAGCAATTGTACCAGTCTCTCACGAACAATGAAAGTTGATGTGCCAGGAAATACGATGACTTGCCAATCCATAAGTGTAAGGAAGTCAACAACGAATATCCACCATCCAACAGTAAATATTGGCATGCAAATGAACACAATAAGCCGCCTACGAACAATGATGATAGGCATGGTGTAAGTGTAATGATTTTCCCTGCAAATATATCCAAGAAGATGATGATGAACACACATACATGACACAAAACTTGCCTACAAGCAATATTAATGAAATCAACATGGTGCAACAGTCATGCTATGAATGATAACAAGCAATGTGCAACTAGAGCGACGGAGCTTCTACAAGCATGAATGTGAAAATTGTAGTGAGTGCGACATACTATACACCGTCAAAATTAACAAATTCATGCACATAACAGATCATTTGTAGGTAGTAGCAAGAGACCCATCACATACAACATGCCATTACCTAGCACATACAGAAGGCCTCCATCAAATGCAGAGACCTGCAAGTCGTAGCGGAAATTTGTTAGCTCGTGACAATCTACCTGCATAAAAGCCATAAATGACCTATAGTGCGGTCACCACGCCACCAAATCTATAATATTCATACATGTAGACAGAAGACGTTTATATGCTTCTAAATAAAGCGTTGTGCACGTTCAAACGGTCGTCATTCACAGAACTCATTGACATCAAAAACTTCAAAATGTCATCCCACGTGCATTACAATAGGCAGAATGTGTCATTCAACATTGGAAAATGCATTATGCCGCAACAGCACATCACATAAAAGTACAAAATGTATTGCGCACACATGTTCCACTATATACCAATGCATCATGCAAGCATGGCAGCAACGTGAAAAAACATAAAACATGTCATACATGTGTAATTATCCAACATGCAAAATACAATGTATAATGATAACATGTTGTGTCAGCATATAGATGCTTTATGCACTGCATACAAATACTGAGTAAGCATGTAATTAGATTATGCAATTAAAGCAATATGATGTATAAATACATTATACATGTGTATCATATGCCACTGCGTTAGGCCACTACAACTCATATCAATACGTCAAACAAGCATGATTGAATAATGCGTAATGCATATAAGCGAATATATAAATGCATGCATAAATATGTTAATATACGGGTGAAAGTATAGGTGTGTGTGCGAATACGCATATCAATCATATATATCCATTGTATTGCATACATACAACCACCACAAAAAGACATCATCCAAAGTGCATTCGATAGCATATACCAGTATGGGCCTCGACGAGCGTGTTATGAGTACACACGTGACGTCTGAGGATACTGCTTGGATCAAATGATAAATTCAAGTTTGAGCCCGATTCTCCTATGCAAGTAGATAAAAGTCAACAAGGCTCGAACTATCAAACAAATATATGGTCACGGCGTCAACCGAGATATTTATTTTATACATTCATATTAGACATTTAAGGCCTATTACAAGACAAATTCATTGACAAAGGCATAAAGCCTATTACGAACCTAATCCTCTGCCATCAATTAGACAGAGTCGACAAAGTTTAACATATAATTATAAAAATGCCTCATAAATATCTGCATGGGCCCCGGCGAGCGTATTATGGGTACACACATGACGTCTGAGAATGTTGCGCGGGTCAAATAATAAATTTAAGTTCGAGCCGGATCCTCTCCATACAAGCAAATAGGAGTCGACATGGCTCAAACTATTAAACAAATATACAATCACGGCGTCGACCGAGATATTTATTTTAATACGTTCATATTAGACCTTCAAGGCCTATAACCAATAAAATCCATTCATAAAATAATAAGGCCGACAACAAACCCGATCCTCTGTCGATAAGCAGATAGAGTCAACAAAGTTTAACTAACAAAATAGAATTGCCCATGAAAATCTTGATGATGGTCGTGTTAAATATTTATATCAATCATAGGGGACTCTATACCTTCAAATGCCTCTCAAAATACCCATAGGATGTCGTATTGGTCCTCTAATCGGTGGTTTAGCCGGATGGCTCCGCAAAAAACTCATGGTTTGGCCATATAGCTCCACATGGTCAATGATTATGATAGTGACCCTCTGACCAAATGGCTTGGTCCAACGACTCCACTGTATTACGGTTACGGTCATAGAACATATGCTCCCCAATAGCTTCAAATCCATGAGAATTGAATCAATAGGATATAATTGATAGTGCATAAATCACTATGTTAGCTAAGGTGGATTCAAACTTGTTTCCTTAGACAAATACTCACCCTAGATCTACAAGGTTCCCTTGGATGATGCAACTCATGACTGCCGATAAGAATCATTCTATCAAGTTGGGTCGATTACCTCCTTTAATGTCATTCAACATTGTAAAATGCATTATGCCGCAACAGCACATCACATAAAAGTACAAAATGTATTGCGCACACATGTTCCACTATATACCAATGCATCATGCAAGCATGGCAGCAACGTGAAAAAACACAAAACATGTCATACATGTGTAATTATCCAACATGCAAAATACAATGCATAATGATAGCATGTTGTGTCGGCATATAGATGCTTTATGCACTGCATACAAATACTGAGTCAGCATGTAATTAGATTATGCAAGTAAAGCATATGATGTATAAATACATTATACATAAGTATCATATGCCACTGCGTTAGCCCACTACAACTCATATCAATACGTCAAACAAGCATGATTGAATAATGTGTAATGCATATAAGCGAATATATAAATGCATGCATAAATATGTTAATATACGGGTGAAAGTATAGGTGTGTATGCGAATACGCATATAAATTATATATATCCATTGTATTGCTTACATACAACCACCACAAAAATACATCATCCAAAGTGCATTCGATAGCATATACCAGTATGGGCCCCGACGAGCGTGTTATGAGTACACACATAACGTCTGAGAATACTGCTTGGATCAAATGATAAATTCAAGTTTGAGCCCGATTCTCCTATGTGAGTAGATAAAAGTCGACAAGGCTAGAACTATCAAACAAATATATGGTCACAGCGTCAATCGAGATATTTATTTTATACGTTCATATTAGACATTCAAGGCCTATTACAAGACAAATTCATTGACAAAGGCATAAAGCCTATTACGAACCTAATCCTCTGCCATCAATTAGACAGAGTCGACAAAGTTCAACATATAATTATAAAAATGCCTCATAAATATCTGCATGGGCCCCGTCGAGCGTATTATGGGTACACACATGACGTCTAAAAATATTGCGCGGGTCAAATAATAAATTTAAGTTTGAGCCGGATCCTCTCCATGTAAGCAAATAGGAGTCGGCATGGCTCGAACTATCAAACAAATATACTGTCACGACGTCGACCAAGATATTTATTTTAATACGTTCATATTAGACCTTCAAGGCCTATAACCAATAAAATCCATTCATAAAAGCATAAGGCCGACAACAAACCCAATGAATTGCCCATGAAAATCTTGATGATGGTCGAGTTAAATATTTATATCAATCATAGGAAACTCTATACCTTCAAATGCCCATAGGATGTCGTATTGGTCCTCTAATCAGTGGTTTAGCCGGAAGGCTCTGCAAAAAACCCATGGTTTGGCCACATAGCTCCACATGGTCAATGATTATGACAGTGACCCTCTGACCAAATGGCTTGGTCCAACAACTCCACTGTATTACGGTTACGATCATAGCATGTATGCTCCCCAATAGCTTCAAATCCATAAGAATTGAATCAATAGGATATAATCAATAGTGCATACATCCCTATGTTAGCTAAGGTGGATTCAAACTTGTTTCCTTAGACAAATACTCACCATAGATCTACAAGGTTTCCTTGGATGATGCAACCCATGACTGCCGATAAGAATCATTCTATCAAGTTGGATCGATTACCTCCTTTAACTAAGTAGACTAGGGACCATGATGGCCCAGGAAGACAGAACCATGGGATCTTGATTGGGCCCATCATCACTTCCCCTGTCATCCTCTTTAAATGTAAGATGGTGAAATTTTTAATTTTAAATATTAAGTCTCACAAAAAAGAAAAAAAAAACTAAACACATGCTACTACTGTACGCCATATACTTTATATATGTTTGACGACTAGCATTAATCGAAAGTTCTCTCTCATTATCGAAAGGGATAATTAACTATAGGGGCTTGCGCCTATAGGAAGCCTGAACTCAGATCATAAAATCTTCACAAAATGAGGGCGAAATCTATAGGTAGTGCTTATTTCAAACCCAACCCGCCTTCTCAAAATTTACCTCAGAATTTAATTTAAAACTCTCCCGAAAGACGAGTGGCTGGGCGCGAATTTTCGGAGCCCACATCATCATTGTTCGACTGTCATTGTTCAACCACTCTTGACCGACCATCATGATCAAACAACTATCAAACAAACCAATATTAATTAACATCATCCAATTGATGTCATTCTCCCTCCACTAGCTCTCTCATAATCTCTAATACAACAATAGAAGATCAAGCAAGCACTCCCAACTTTTTAATACCATCTTCTCCAGTTTTGGAGAAGATCATGCTTCTACAACTTCAAGTACATAGCAGGCAATTTTAGGGCTAGTCTCATGACTTTGTCTCATTCTAGATTTTCCACGCACTAAGTCTAGTGTATCATCTATTCTTCTCCTTTATTCATGTGTGGATCTATGTAAAATTATAACATAAAACTCTCTCTATCACCATAATTTTTTTTGCACACAACAATAATAATCAAACAAAAGCAATAATGGAAACCTTAATTTGTATATCAGAATTAATAAAAAAAGTGTTGAAGTGAGCAAACGAAGAACTCATTTACTTAAGAAGATTTCTAGCGAGTTTCATTGCATCCCATGCTATTTTTAACTTCAGAAAGTGGCATCAAAAAAGAAAGTAAAAGAGCTGGAAAAGTACAACTTGAGTCTTATTAGACGTAAGCTAATAAGCATGACTTGTCAAGAACAACTTCGTAGTTTAATATTTTCGGCTGCAGACAAATACCTCATAAGGGTATTTTAACCACAAATAAAAAATATCAATAGCAAAGAGAAGTATTTCTAATCATGACAAGATAAAAAGATTAACGGTAAAACATTACAAACTTATAAACTATGGGTACCGATTATAATATGGACAATGGAAATATTATATGGAATGGGTGCTGAAATAACTCAGCTCTAATTCATTCAGATGGAAGAGTGCCTCATTTAGCTTTCTGTTGAATACTCAGATGCTTTTGCTCTTACGAGCCATCTCCCTAGCCATTTCTCGAAGCTCTTCTGGAGATGGAGGTGGAGGACCCTCAGGAGGATAAACAACATAAGGCCTCTGCGTAAATAACAGCACAATTTTTTATTTTTTTATTTTTATCAACAAATTGAGAGAATCAAAAGTTAAACTGAAAGTAATATTATTCACCAGGACTAAATATCTTTACAAATGATGCTTAAACTGCTATGAAAATACTTAATAATTCTTTTAAAAATGTATTCTTATTGGTAATACCGTAAAACAGAAATTGGTAGCTTTACATTAAAGAACACAGATCGAGATCAGGAAATCGATCCAGATAAATGGATAACTTGTCAGGAAAAATAACTTGCAATCAGCACAGAAGTTCCATGGTAAAGATCTTGACAATAAGAGTTCTATGATCTATAATGCTACAAAATTACCACCAGCTAACAACAAAACATCTTGCCAGGCTTCCCCAAACGAACGATGGGATTAATCAAATAGCCAACGGCATTTCAGCCCTTGCAACAGACCCAAATCAGAGAGAGAATGCAGAATATATGTTCAATTACAGATTTTTTGATAGCTAAAACAATCATACAGCAAAAAATATAATGACTACAAAATGCTTACAATGGTTCATTTACACTAACTGATACCTTAAATATGAACTTCTAAGTTCATGGTTGCATAAGAAAACCTAAAAACTTCAACATCTTACCATCCACTACTCACAAAAACATCTTTCTAGGCCTCCTAACCAAGAATTGGCTAATCAAGGTAGCCAGTGACACTTGCTGCAGACCAAATGGGAAGTGAATGCATAAAATTGGTTTTTTTAGGTAAAACATGTCATAAAGAATGAAATATAATACTTGTACAAAAGCATATATAAGTTCTCGTGAAATCAGAACATTACAAGTTTTATTTCTTGTAAGTATATGCACCTCAGCTTTGTGATTCATGGCAGTCTAAACAAGAGATATAATATGACTATAACAGCGGTAGGTGACAAGATGTCAAGGGGATGGTTCGGAGGCATTTTCTAGAGCTTCAAATAGTTAAACGTATCAAAAAGAGGGGGAAAATGAGAAAACAGTGTAGACACAAACGATTGATGAACCGTGGAAGCTATTTAGTAGTTTTAATTCACTTTTTACAAGTTAAAGATAACCTTAAGTTTAGAAATAAAAAAAATTTAAAACTAAACCATGAGCAAACTATAAAACATAGGCCTGACTAATACATCTCTGTTACATGCCTCTCATATTTTGCTCCTGAATACACAATTGCACTCATTTTAGTCTCCTTAGATATGTTTGTAGGATGACTGCTGGTGTTGTTATTTGTTGGTGCTGGTATTTCACAAGTCTCTCATTTGTTCACTAATTTTCATCACAAGTATTTTGCCCGTTCATTGATATTCATCACAAGTACTTAATTTTGTTATTTCATGATTTGCATTATTATGTTGAATATTAGATCTAGTTCCCTATAATTGTAAGTTTGATTCCCTGTGGTTCAATTCAAATTCAGTTCCCAAAGTTTTCAGCTAAGTTTGGTCCCCTATTCACTCAAAAATCTGGCAGCCTCACAGCGTCTCTCATGTTTAGGAGAAATTTAGGGAGTCTTAGCTTGCCCACCCGGTCAAAAAAAACGTGCATAGTCAGTGTCGGATGACATCGTGGTCATAAGCTTCAATCCTATCACGCCAAGAAAGGCGTGCATGGATCTTCAAAGGTACCTATTTGAAAATGCGCAGTTTTTTTCCAGCATGCACTGAAGCTCATACACGAGTACTTAAGTTTTACCCCGCAGTACTAACAAAAGCATGCATAAGGCTCACCCACTAAGAAAAGTGTGCATAAGTGATTTTTCGGTGTGCTGCGAATGCTGAAAATAGGACTTGGAGATTTTTTTGAGTTTCGAGAACATTATACCTTTGCGAAGGAGTCGACAGCGGTTAGCGGGATGTGTTGAGGCGATTACGATGTGAATGGGCACAAATTTTTCTTCTTTTCTTTTTTTTTTTTACTTTTTTTTCTCTCTTTTTTTCCTTTTTTGATCTTTTGCTTCTCTTCTTTCCCTTTTTTTTTACAACAATAATAATAAAACTAATAAGTAATGATATTATTTAATAATACTAATTAATAACAATTATGATAATAATAATAATACTAATAATAGCTATTAATATTAATAATAAAAAAACTTGAGAGAGAGATGGCCAAGGAGTTTAGAGATTGAGAGAGAAGATTCTTTGTTAGGAAAAAAGAGGCAAATTCTTTAGAAATGAGCTAGGTGAATAAAAGTAGGAGTGATTGTGAGTGAGCCAATGGGTTGTCTTGGCTGTGGTTAACTATATGTGTGTGTGGTGCTTGGTGAAGCCTTCAGACAAAGAGAGGGTAGTGAGGTAGAGGCTTGTTGTAGTTCGGAATAAGGAGAGAGGCGAGATTGAGCCGATCAAACGAATTAGAGAGGTGGAGGCGGGCTGTCTGCGATTGGCAGTGGCTAGGTCGAACAAAACTGCTCAAGTACAGGTAAGGGAATCCTCTTGTTGTGGTTAGATTTAGTTAGCTTGACATAAGGCTGCGAGGTTCGATTCACGGCTTAGAGGGCTGGTTGGCTTCTCTCATGCGAATGGAGGGTGATAGAGAAGAGTGAATGGGTGGCTTGTAGTCTTTGTAGGTGGATCAAAAGGAGCTCGGCAAGAGCCTAGCAGTTGGTGGGTTGAGGTACTCAAACTGGGCGTTTATATGTGGAATCGGATGATTGGAAGTGGTTGGCAGTTGTTCGATCAGCTTACGGCAGGGAGAGGAGTCGGGTGTGGATACTACAGAAAAATCATCAATTACCGACGGTTGAACCGGCCGTGTGACCGCCAATATCAAACGACAGTTTTTAATAATAAATCGTTGGAAATGCCGGCGGTAAAATAACCACCATATAGACCATCGGTTTTTTGTTTGGGCGTCGGTGTTAAGTGTTTTTTTTTCCCCGGTGGTCCAAACCGCCAGATAAATGCCGAAAATTGACCTAAAATTGGCCAAACATGCCCGTCATCCTCATTTGTTCGCGTATATGTTTTTCCTCCAGACACCTCTCGCGCTCACCTCAGACTGCGTCTGCAGGACTCCGGCTGCCGACGCCGTAACTATGGCCGCCAATCACGCCCTCACTCCGGCTGACGATCACGCCCTCACTCTGCCCGCCGACGCCATTGCTCTGCCCACTGATGCGCTCACTCCGGCCTGCGAATGCCCCGAAGGTTGTATTTGTATTTACTTTTGTTTTTTTTGTTTTTTTAGTCATGGATGTTGATTTAGAGAGAATAATGAGGACCTACATATGATATTTATTGATTTAGAGATAACATACGATAAAGTTCTAAGAGAAGTGCTATGGAGAGTTCTAGAAAAGAAAGGGGATTAATAATGCTCATATTCAAGTCAATAAACGTATGTATAAGTTGTTACTTGTGTTCAAACAAAAGATGGTTTGACCAAGTATTTTCCTATTTCAGATGGATTACATCAAGGATCAACCTTAAGCGCATATCTTGTTGCTTCAATAATAGATGTTCTTACTAGACATTTGCTAAAGGTTGTACCTTGGTGTACGTTTTTTGCTAATGATATTCTTCTTGTTGATAAAACCACAGAGGGAGTTGAAGGTAAACTTGAATTGTACAGGTCAACCTTAGAGTCTAAAGATTTTGTTTGAGTATATCTATAACCGAATATATGGAGTGTAATACGAGGACTCATCAACATCAAACTGACCATCAGTGGGTTGATGAGAAGACGAAAAAAGCTCATGTGAGTATAATTTTTAGAGTAATAAAATAAAATATAATATAAATTTATTTTATGGATTCATTATCACAGGATGATTTTATACGAGTTCGAAAAAGTCATCAGTTTATTAATGAGGGATCATCTTCAGAATCGACCAAGTATTATGAGTATTATACATGGTCAGATGTTGTTGGAGGAAGGCAAAGGGGGAGGGTTTATGGCTTAGGTTCGTAGGGATATGCTTATGAGGGCAGTTCATCTACGTCAGCATTTTATGATGTTAGTTGAGCTGAAGAAACTATTAGCCAGAGGATTGCTGCCCTGACTAATGAATCACAATGAGATGCAGACGGAGCTGCGATCATATCGAGATAAAAATCAGAAGAAAGAGCAAGAGCCGACACATGAATCACAAGGCAGCAAGGACACATAGGATGATTAGTGTTGTTACTTGTTTGATGAACTTTTTGATGTATTTTGAACATCTTACTGTGGATTCATATATTATGTTTATTGTAGAACATATACATTCTTCTTTGTTTAAAGAATTGTTTCTGCTTATTGTGGATTTTGGATTGTGCAAATATAATTTGTTGATTGGATTTTGTTATTGCATATGAAATGTTATGTTGATTTTGTACTCCATTTATGTGGGTTGAATATAGTGGTGTGTTGCCCTTAAAGTTTATGTTTTATATATGTTTTGAATTCTGTGCAAATATTGTGGAAATTCATGTAAATAGAGGGGGACTGTCAATTTTTCTTTTTGAAAAGGCTACAGGTTTTTGGCAGCTAATCGGCGGTTTGCCAGCTGGAAACGTCGAAACCGGACAGTTTATTTAGTCGACGGTGATTTAATATAGCCATCGGAACGGTCTACCGGCGGTCGCCGACAATTTGATTGCAGGAATTTACCGATGTTTGAGATGGACGGTATGCTACTAGTATACCCGGCGGTCGCCGGCGCTTTGACTGTTAGAATTTACCGGCTGTTCTGGCCACCGGAAAACTGCCAGAAGGTTTAGCAACTGGAAAATGACCGCCGCAATTTGTTTCCTATGCGGTTTACACCGACAGTTAATAGACCACCGAAAAACTGCCGGTATATTGTCTAACCGCCGAAAAAGTGATATTAACCGCTGGAAAATGCCGGTGTAAACCGTATAGGAAACAAATTGCGGCGGTTAATATCACTTTTCATGTAGTGGGAATTGGGATTGAGGGTGGATTGCAACTGGGGTCTTTTGTGAGATCGGAGTGGCTCGGGGGTTGTTGCAATCGAAGAGGGTAGGGAAC